ACTAAAATGTTGATCATGGGATATATATGGCACAGAATCTACCATGATTGAAAACATATTTAAAAGAAAAAAACTTCATAATCTATTTTTTCGCTCACTGACTTTCCCATGAGATATATGAAATCATCATGAGTTGCTAGTTACAAGTATGAAGTAGGTCTTGTTCCAGGGTTTCCAAACCGTGCAACATGGTCACCCAGAAAAGAATTTTGCTCTGCAATTATTTTCAAACACATCGTGAAATTTCCATTTTCACAGATGCAAACAGCTCTTTGTCTCCAGGAAATTCCAAAACCCCTAGAAGATAATTTTTTAACTCATAGAAAGAACTCCAAGAACTCCTTTTGGCAAATTTTCTGAACATGTAAAATCTTGTTGAGCAGCCATTTGTAAACTGTTTTCATTACATTCACTTTTTTTTTTTCTTCAAATTATGACGTGTAGTCTTGGTGAGAGGTCGAGTTTAGTAGCTACTTTCCTTCTCTATTCCATATTGTTTTGGAATGTCTCAAAATGTTAATTTTAAACACAAGTATTACTGCAAGCATTACTTGATAGCTCACCAGAACTATCAGGAAATATAAACAATTCATTTAATTTATCAACAGATCAACTCAACTCCATCAACAGATCAACTCAACTCCATCAACAGATCAACTCAACTCCATCAACAGATCAACTCAACTCCATCAACAGATCAACTCAACTCCATCAACAGATCAACTCAACTCCATCAACAGAAGAGATGAAACAGACAATTTTACTTTACAGAAGAAAATACTAGACACAATGAAACGACTGGAGCAAAGGAATAAAGACAGAAATTATGTAAAATGTTGATAATATTGATAAAAACATTTAACATGGATATATTTCGTCAGAAATACAATTGTGCAAAATATACCAAAGCTATTCAGATATGAGACAATGAAAGCAAATTCAGTTAAAAGAAATTCAAAAGATAGGTAGAAAAAATGTTTAAAGTTTTAAAAACAATATTTTTCTGATAATAATCTGATCTTCATGTTGCAAGACACCTCTTCAAGTAGACAAGGATGCCCTAAAGATGTACCACCCCTTTTTGACCCTTTGAATTTTTTTCTTTTTGCTACATCAAGAGTGACCAAGAGTGAGGTCATTTTAATCAGAGATGACATAGAGGGATATCGCCATATGTATAGGGGTGCTGTTTGGGAAATTCTCATTTTGTCTAGTTTGCAATTTCCCAGGCTGGTGTGTCCATCGCTTTCCCGTATGGAATTTACCAGCAACTTTGTGGTAAAAACCTGGCTAAAATTGAGATCATGTGGTTCAGGGATTATCGTCATTCACTTCCGAGTACTAGCAGAGAGATGAGAGTGCAGTTTCACAGGACAACTTTGACTCCGTCTTTCAAGTGCATTCAAAACCTAGCAGTATGGCCAAACGTATAGTCTAATATCTATGGCCAAACGTATAGTCTAATTTCTATTGCCAAACGTATAGTCTAATATCTACATCCAGCTGCTGAAAAGCCAAGGACACCTTCCTTGTTCCTTGTGGCAGAATGAGCTTAAGACCACTGCCTGGCTGTTCTTAGTACTTTTAGGTGAAGACTAAGTTGCCCTGAGGAAGGTCTTGGTGACTGATACAGTCCCAGTGTTCCATATCAAAGTTGAATAAAGATCCTCTGGAAAACCTCAGGTGGTAATCCTGTTTGTCCCTTAACTCTCTCACAATGACATTTTTATGCAATTAGCATTTTTTTCTTTCATGATATCTATTTAGTAGGAAGATTGTATTTCAAAAGTAAAAAGATAATTGATACTGACTTATTTTGATAAACATATCTAAGATTGATTTACATGTATGGTGTCAGTTTACTTGCGGTATATGAATAAACCTAGATGGCTTAATTTAATGACCAGAAATGTAAGCTGTCGGGAGGGGTAAACTGTCGGGAGGGGTAAGCTGTCAGGAGGGGTCGTCTGCTCTGTCTATTCATGTAAAAAGTGTTCTCAAGGACATCTAAATTCTCTTTTCCCATTCCTAGGGATATTCAGGTGGCTAACTTTCTTTCATGAGCCAATCCAAGTCTTTTCTGAGTATCCAGGGACTTTGTCTGCACTTAGCATCAAAAGACAGCTGTCTCGGTTTCTCACTGGCATCAGGAGGGAGGATTTAAACTTGTACCCACCACTATAGTGAGGGGACAAGAAACCTGTACCCACCACTATAGTGAGGGGACAAGAAACCTGTACCCACCACTATAGTGAGGGGAAAAGAAACCTGTTCCATGACATTTTATTAGTAGCAAAATGGTAGGTTGTCTCAATTTTGTTGGTTTTTATTTTTATCTAAAGAGGAGGTTGTCAGTCATGTTAGAACAAAATGTTGACTGCTGAATTAAGAATCGACATCACAACACTCAAGACACTCTCATAAGTGCTCTGTCCTCATCTTCAGCAGCAAGTGAAGAGTACCAATTCAAATGGCACCTGTAACTGTCTGACTTTATATCCGTCCTGCCTTTCCTATGAGTGTTGAGCATATACCAGATACCCTGGTAACTCCTCGCAGCCCCATTCTCCTCAGCCATAATGATCTTTTTGTGCCTCTGCACTGTTCATTTGTTCCCAAAGGGCCCTCACAACATCAAGCCATACATCAATTCACCACCAAATGACACAGAACTGGCAAGTCTAATTGCCTGCTCATTTCCCAACACACCTGGATAAATTTCCAAAGGATTTTAACTACCCGGGACTTCTGGAGAGATGCTTGCCACTCTGCATGGAGCATGCCTGTCTCCGACTTTCTCAAAATGCTTTTTGAGTCAGTTACAATGATGAAATGTGTGTATGGCTGAGTCTGAGCCTCTACCTCCATTGTCAAACTAGATTTTGTGATATCATATGCCAGACTTTGTTGCACTAAGTGACGTCCAATCTATGCAGATGGTTCGGTGTTGAGAAGAAAGAGAAGTGCCTGGGGGTTGGTAGAAAAAGACAAAGGAAAATCTTTAGTGCAAGACAGTCTAGCATATGATATCACAACATCTAGCATGAGAATGGAGGTGTAGGTGGTAACTGCAGCTCACCAGTGGTTACAGAACAAGATGCATACACATATCGTAATTGTAACAGACTCTGAAATAATGATGAGAAAGGTGAAGACAGGGATGCAGAGTGGCAAGCTACACTATGAAGGTCACGAGTAGTGAGCATACATTGGATCTTTTCTCCAAGCCATGCTGGCGTAGTGGGCATTGAACAGGCTGGTTAAATCTGCACCACTGGGTGGTGAACTGATACATAACAGGGCAGATGTGGTCAAGGCCCTTTGGGAATGAGCAACGGAATCAGTGGAGAAACAAGATTATTATGGCCTGGAGAGAATGAGGCACCTGGGTGTAACCATAGGGTCTGGCTGGCTCACTACACTCAGAGGAAAGGCAAGACGGACATATAACTGGATTGTGACCAGTGCCATCAATATTGGAACTCTGCGCTGGCTGTTGAATATGAGGATGGTGCATGCATGGGAATGCCCTGAGAACTGTGATATCAATTCTTGACTCAACTGAACTCAACTAAGTGACATCCATTCACTTTTGCTATAAACCCCCATGCACTTAGTCTGCCCCTCAATACAGAACCATCTATATAGATAATCACATCCCTTGAGCGGGAATTGTCATGAATCATTTGTTGAACTTCTGATTCTGTAGCACCAGCTGGCCAGTCCCTGCTCTCACGTCCCAAAGTGATTAAGACCCTTCACAAGTCTGAAACCTGATCGGATACTTTTAACCACTCCTCTACTCGCCTAAATTTATCTAGCCTGCACACATGTCTAATTGTGTCTTCAGCTTGCGCCATTCAAGACCTTCCTCTTTTTAGTCTGTGACCCTTAGCTCTACCCAGGGCCTCATTCAGGAGGTGCTTCTTGTCCGCAGCTACTCTGAGATATGACTTTGCTTGCAGAACTTTGAGCCTATATGCAATAGTAGGCAGTGCAAGCATATATCGCATACATACTACCAGGGTATCTCTTGTACACCTCAGAATTACCCGAATGATTTCATTCTGTGTGCGCTCAGGTTTCATCAGCTGAATCTTTGATATGGTAAGCATTCTAAGTCCATAATCTATTACTGACAGGATCACACGCTTAAATAATGTGAACAGCATTCTTTGTTCCATGTCTATTGCTAACATTGATAACAGTCTTTTTTGGCATTTTACTGCAATTCCTCAACATGATCCCTGAAGGACAGGCTTTTATCGAAAATGATACCCAGGTACCTCAGTTTGCTTTCTCTTTTGATGTTTTTGTAATTAACTGTGAGATTTGTAACATTAGCTTTTACAATTCTATGGTCAAGAGAGCACCATAAAACAGCCACCATTTCTGAGTTGTTGACAACACCCATCTCTGCCCATAAGTCAGTCAATTAGTCTGCAGTTGCGTGTAGCTCTTGAGCTTTGTTTCTCTTGAGCTGTCTGTTTCTCTTGAGCTGTCTGTTTCTCTTGGGCTGTCTGTGTCTCTTGGGCCGTCTGTTTCTCTTGGGCTGTCTGTTTCTCTTTGGCTTTTGTTTCTCTTGGGCTGTCTGTGTCTCTTGGGCCGTCTGTTTCTCTTGGGCTGTCTGTTTCTCTTGGGCTGTCTGTTTCTCTTGGGCTGTCTGTTTCTCTTAGGCTGTCTGTTTCTCTTGTGCTGTCTGTTTCTCTTGGGCTGTTTGTTTCTCTTGAGCTGTCTGTTTCTCTTGGTCTGTCTGTTTCTCTTGGGCTGTCAGTTTCTCTTGGGCTGTCTGTTTCCTATATGTCCCCTGCCGAAATGCAAGAACATCCGCAAATGTCAAGATCCTTCCAATATCTGGTGCTTCGTGCTAGAATAAAAATGAAATAACATTTGAACTCCACAATTAGAATTAAGTAAAAGAGAAACAAAAGATGATGATTTATAAAAGGTCTTTGCAGTGTGGTTTTTCAGAAAAGCATTTATTACCAATGCCAACTCACCTCAATTTCTTTCTGAAATCTTTCCTTTGCCATGGCCATTGTTTTTTCTTGATCATATTGGTGAAACAAATCACTAAGTGTACTCTTATGTTGCATTATAAAATCCATTATCTTTGCTCTCATCTGGACATCCTGATTTTTCTTAAAGGCATCCCCAATTCCTGAAAGATAAAATAAAAAAAAATAATAAATACAAAAAAAAACATTTTTAAAAGCAGAATAATTATTTTCAGTTTTTTCTCTTCCGGAGAATTAGATGCCATGACTGCTTTTGATAATTTGTTGCAGACTACTGTTGGCCTATTCCTATACAATGGGTGTCAGTAAATTTTCTGGCAGATAAGGTCTACTGTGGTCAAGAAACTCTGGCCCTAACACCATCTAGACTATGACATCAAAAGTAACCTATACAGTTAACATGACTAATATTAACAAAGTTCTGGCTAGCAGCCAAATTAGTCAAAACAAAGGAACATATTTTTTTAAAGAACTGTTAAACTGTGGATTACAGGACACAATATCACATGAAGTAAAATCTGGAAAAGACCATGCAACAAATATAAGGAGTAGGAAGCTGAAATGGACCTGAAACAAAGTTAAAGGAAAGAAGCAGCAGGAACAGTGGTATTACAACAGAAATGTTCCTTGCATGTAAGACAACAGCAGTAGCCTGGTTGACTAGACTCTTTAACATAGCTTTGAAATTCAAGAAGGTTCCAATGGACTGGTAGAGAGCGATGATTGTCCCCATATGGAAGAATAAAGGAGATAAATGAGATCACGAAACATGTAGAGGCATCATTTGAGCAGTTTTGGAGATGCCAACTCAACACTAGAGGGAGAGGAGCCAGTCATATTGAGCCTCGAAGACAGTCACTAGAGAGCAGACATGAAACGAGACAACGAACTACAGTGACAACATAAAAGATACATGGATCCATGTTTAACAGTGTCACATTAGTTAGGAACACTATTGAGATATTAGAGTTGACGATCAATCCTTTAGTACCAGACAGCACTAGAGGCCAGGTACAGTTACAGACACTAGAACCAAAGTAACTAGAGATGAGGAACACAACGCGAATCTTAAGAGTATGTAACCATAGGGAGGACACAGCGCCATTCATGGTATCATTGATGTTATTCGTGACATTGCTGAAGTATCACAATAAAGACAGTATAGACAAGAACAGTTGTTTCTAAAGACGAACCTGGGTGTGACATCAAAATACGCAACAAAGAAGAGAGCTGTGCTACAAAACTAAGACCCTTGTTTTGACTTCCTGTAACAATTATATCCATCATTTCTTGCAGCTGTTTCATTTTCAACGATTAGAACTATAAGATGCCAAAAGAGATTCCTGGCTTTATATATATATATACTTATATATATATATATATATATATATATATATATATATATATATATATATATATATATATATATATATATATATATATATATAAATATATATATCCTAGGATAGAAGTCTGTCCTACTACTAGGCGTGTCCACCAGGTGGCGGATGGTGGAAAGGCCTCTAGATATAGAGGTTAGCCATAAATATACTGAATAAGTAGCCATGGACCAAAACAGGTGATGGTCATTGAGAGGAGGAGAGTTAGTTGGTAGAACAGCTAACTCTATAAAATACCTCAAAACTCTACGACATGGCCATCGGCGGGTAAGAGGCACCATAACCTTTCCCCCCTGCTGCCTTGCAGGCTTTTGTAATCAAACCATATACAACTTGGAGGAAGGCAAGGGGAAACCAATGCTGTATTATCCCTAAAAAATCATGCCTCAAAACATTACGAATTCAGATAACGACATGAATGGGGATTCCAGTGGAATCCCCTTGTCCAGTAGGGAGAATCATGTTCTACGGGTGATACCCGACCGTCATTCAGCTACTGTAGAAAAAGTAAATGGTAGAAACATCCTGAACATTGGTACATGGAATGTCAGAACACTCGTACACAACGGAAAGTTGGATAACATCAAGATGGAAATGAAGAGAATGAACATCAACATATTAGGAATTTGTGAAATGCAATGGTCAGGAGCAGGTGAAAAGTATTCAGATAAATACATAATTATTTACTCAGGTGGAAAGGAATAAAGTGAGGGAGTTTGTATTATTTTGGATCCAAAGAACTCACAAACTGTGAAAGAATTTTGGACAATATCAGATAGAGTACTATTTAAAACTTTAAGGCAGACTTTTTGACATCAACTTAGTACAGATTTATGCCCCAACAGCAGATAGTTCAGAGGAAGATACTGACGCATTTTGTGACGAGTTAAACATGGCTGTTGATCAATGCAAATTGTGAATTAACAATGGTACTTGGAAATTTCAACGCAAAAATGGGAAGTAAAAAAGTGTTTGAAATTGATGGTAACACTTACCTGGCACAGGTAATTAACCTTTATGTCCTTTTTAGGATGAAATTTGTTGTTATTTGAAACCCCACCCTGGCTTTTGCCAGGGGCCGCAATATAGGCAGGCCATAAATATGGCCAATTGTCTGAACGCTGTTTCTGGGACCTCTCCATGGTGATCCTCATCAACATGGTGGCAATTTGTGTCATCGGGTGTTTATCACTTGTGTGATGTCCTGGTGGGGTAGAAAGTCAGTCAGTCAGTCAAGTGTACGGAATAAAAGGGTGGCTATGGCCTAGGAGAAAAGAATGTGAGAGGTGACAGATTATTAGCATGGGCTGAGTCGTGCAGCATAATAATAGGTAACAGCTGGTTTAAACACCATCCTCAAAGATTGTGGACTTGGAAAGTCCTGGTGATAATGTCCACAATCAAATTGATTATATTTTGATTTCAAGAAGATTCCGGAGCAGCCAGGAAGTCAAGCTGGACATGAGGCAGTCTCAGACTGAGATCTGTCAGAGGTTCATTTTCTCTAATTTTATGAGCTATGTAAATTTGTATTCATAAGAAGTAATTTAATCATAACATCATCACTCTCATAGGCCTACTGAATTAATTGACTGATGCATTATCATCATAACATCCGATTCTTGACTGCAAAATTTTATATCAATACAATTCAATTAATTTTGCTTTGGTAAATTGTGAACTGAGGTTCAAGTGTCTGTGCATACTAGTGTACCTCAGCTCACTTATATGCAAATCACTTGATGGGAGCTTTTGTTATAAATTAATACTAGGAGGAGCTTTTGTTATAAATTATTACCAGGAGGAGCTTTTGTTATAAATTAATACCAGGAGGAGTTTTTGTTATAAATTATTACCAGGAGAGGAGAAAGTCAGAGGGGTGACCTGTGTATCTTGACATTCTCTTATTGAATTTGTCTTAATATCTAACTACCCTTTTCCTTCTCCTGTGGATACAAGTACAGCTACTTTCATTTTCCCTTCTGCTGTTTTCTTGGTTATCCAGGACTGTGTCTGGGATCGACATAATTCAGATATTAGTCTAAGTTCTCACACGGGTGTGTAGTCTTAGGATTCAAACTCACACACTTACTATATAAGTGTATATCCACATGGATGTGCAGTCTTAGGATTCAAACTCACACACTTACTATATAAGTGTATATCCACATGGGTGTGCAGTCTAAGGATTCAAACTCACACACTTACTATATAAGTGTATATCCACATGGGTGTGCAGTCTTAGGATTCAAACTCACACACTTACTATATAAGTGTATATCCACATGGATGTGCAGTCTTAGGATTCAAACTCACACACTTACTATATAAGTGTATATCCACATGGATGTGCAGTCTTAGGATTCAAACTCACACACTTACTATATAAGTGTATATCCACATGGGTGTGCAGTCTAAGGATTCAAACTCACACACTTACTATATAAGTGTATATCCACATGGGTGTGCAGTCTTAGGATTCAAACTCACACACTTACTATATAAGTGTATATCCACATGGATGTGCAGTCTTAGGATTCAAACTCACACACTTACTATATAAGTGTATATCCACATGGATGTGCAGTCTTAGGATTCAAACTCACACACTTACTATATAAGTGTATATCCACATGGATGTGCAGTCTTAGGATTCAAACTCACACACTTACTATATAAGTGTATATCCACATGGGTGTGCAGTCTAAGGATTCAAACTCACACACTTACTATATAAGTGTATATCCACATGGGTGTGCAGTCTTAGGATTCAAACTCACACACTTACTATATAAGTGTATATCCACATGGATGTGCAGTCTTAGGATTCAAACTCACACACTTACTATATAAGTGTATATCCACATGGATGTGCAGTCTTAGGATTCAAACTCACACACTTACTAAATAAGTGTATATCCACATGGGTGTGCGGTCTTAGGATTCAAACTCACACACTTACTATATAAGTGTATATCCACATGGGTGTGCAGTCTAAGGATTCAAACTCACACACTTACTATATAAGTGTATACCCACATGGATGTGCAGTCTTAGGATTCAAACTCACACACTTACTATATAAGTGTATATCCACATGGATGTGCAGTCTTAGGATTAAAACTCACACACTTACTATATAAGTGTATATCCACATGGATGTGCAGTCTTAGGATTCAAACTTACACACTTACTATATAAGTGTATATCCACATGGATGTGCAGTCTAAGGATTCAAACTCACACACTTACTATATAAGTGTATATCCACATGGGGTTGGTGACAAGTACTTAAAAATAAACATATGTGAGCTAATGTAAAGAAAAAAAAAGATAACCTCCATGCACCATTTTTATGTTAGGAAACTGCTCTTCAACATGTCTCCAGAGATCCATAAAATCTTTATTAATGGGAATATCCTGAAATAAAAAGAAGTAGAATCCATTATTTGAGGGTAGTTAGAAAACCTTTTAAAGCCTTCTTTGCAGAATATCTTCCCATGTATTGATCTATATATTCATATGCTTAAAAGTAAACCACATTTTATTTGCCTGCCATCCTGACATTAAAATTATAGTGCTAGCTCTATTTTTGTGGTTATAAATGTTTAGTGTAGTCAGTTTGACATGGGCTGCCATTATGTGACAAAAAGGCTCCAAGCAAATCAGAACACACATCATGAACACAGGTATTCCAAATCTGATGGCAACTAAGTATTTTTTAGGACTGCAGTCTACAGTCAAGGATGTCAAGAAGGTCAGAGAGTGCTACTGACAAAGGTGACCATCTGTCCAGTTTTCACTTGGACAATTCCATTTTGTAACTGTGTCCTGGCTGTCATGTCAACTGTCCATTTTTTTAGAAGAATTCTAGGAATAAAATAGAACATAGATTTGTAGTTACAAGGTCTGACAATTAAGTATGGAGACTAATTCCATAAAAATTACAATAATCAACAGTTGAAGATATCACCTGCATTTTATTCAAAGTAAGCCCCTTGTGCATTGATACAACAAGTGGCACGATCTAACAAACACTGGAACGACATCTGTAGTTCTTCTGTTGTTATGGCCCTCAAAGTCATTACAGCCCTTTGGATGTTGTCAATATTGTTAAAAAAAAAGCTTTCTTTCAAACGTAAGTTTAATTTTGGAAATGGAAAATAAGTGAGTGTAAGTGAGTGAATGGGTTTGTGTGTGTATGTGGGTGTGTGTGTTTGCGCGCAAGCGTGCGCATGTATTTTACCACCCATGCTTTTGTTTTTGACTTGATAGTCATAATATGCATGCCTAATTTGTGACCTTTTGAAAATAACGTTTCTTTGTTCTTTCGTATGTTCTATGCCCCTGTGAATTCTATTGCAAAGATACTCTAGTTATATTGCTCTCGAGTTTTCTCATAATCCCATAATCTTTTCTTCAGCTCTTGGTCCACTGGAACTTGTTTAGTTCTCTCCCAAAGCTCAACGTTAGTAATAATATCATAATATTTAATTCCCTCTATTATGTGCAGGCATTCTACATTACTAATGCACCTAGACCTGGACGGCCAATTTCTGTTCGTAATGAAGAACTCATTGTAAAATTCTGAGAACGGATACAAGAAGATCGTTGTTCGACTGTGGGGATGATGGTAGATTTATTTGGTGTTAATACAGAGACTATTCATAAAATTTTAGTGGAAGATTTGGGCAAGAAAAAAGTTGCTTGTTGGTTTGTATTCAACACCTGGCAATTTTTCCTTCTTCATGACAATGCACCAGCTCAAAGGGTGGTAGCTGTACAGGAATTTTTGGCTTCAAAACAGATAAGTGTTTTTAACCATCAACCATATTCCCCAGATTTGTCCCCCTGTGAATATTTTCTATTCCCAGAATTAGTTGTTATTGAAAGGACGCTTCTTTGACAAAAGAGCTTCCAAAGAGCCGTAAAATCGACTTTTAGGGCCACAACAATAGAAGAACTACAGTGGCGTTCCAGTGTTAGTTAGATCGTGCCACTCGCTGTATCAATGCACAGTCCTATAGGTCTGTTGTCCATCTTCACTCAGACTTTCAAACTGGCTGAAATGTTTTGACATGGACATGTGGTACAAGGTTATGTGCTGAAAATCCAAAACTTTACATTTGCTGGCTGTCCTGAATATTATATTTCCAGGGATAAATAATTATAAACTGAGTGCATGGTGCGCCAACAAAACCATCACCACCTGGCCGCACATATGGGTATTAAGCAATGCAGATAGTTTTGTGGATGTATGAAACATTATAACTTCATTACATTTCATTATGATAAATTTCAATGAAAAGTAAGTGAAGGAGCCTTTTCCTCATCTTTGGGTATACTGGTTGTATAAGGGCTAGACTGAAATTTTATTGACCAAACGGTATGTGGAGCAACACGCCAGCCGCATTTACTTCTCGGGACTGTACCTGGTACCCACTCAAGGCTGTGATGACCTGGGAGTCAAGGTCATTTTGGAAACTAGTCTGGACCCTGTCAGGACCCAAACCCGCGACCTTCCGATCTACAGGCGAGCGTCTAGCCACTAGTCCATGGTGGCTGCGGATAAATATCAGTATTCAAGTCTTATTTTATAAAAATGAAAACATTCACTGAAAAACCTGTGATATAAACATTCAAGAAAAAGAAACAGTTTACCAGCTCCCTGAGACAAAGAGCTCTTTCAAGCAGAATGTGTATTTAGATAATTCAGGAAAGGTACCAGAGGATAGTTAGACTTATAACAGATAAATAAAAGAGAGTGAAAATAATATTCAATCATACCTGGCAAAATTCCAGCAATTTGCCAAAAAGACTCAAACAGCTATCGTTGTTGTTGTTATTGATACAGCGGCGCATGAGCTTTCGCCCTTTGGCCCAAAACTATCAAAACTGTTTAGTTTAGCTCTCCTTCGGCATGCTGGAAGCAGTCTGAAGTGAATTCTTAGACTCTACACTGTATTAAACTTTCCTCTAGCAGAGTCACCACCTCTTATTTCTTGTCTTGAACCTGTCTTGTTTAAGGGATGTCAAAGTTCCTCCCATTTGCCTGTCAGTCCAGAAGACTCAACACTTGTTAGCATTCCCACAATCTGCTGGACCTAGCTTTGCATGGTTATAAAAAGAGACATGTTTCTGTGCCCTCCAGTGAACCAAATACTCTGACACCTGGTCCAATGTGGTCTGCTAACCCTCGTTTGAAAGATGTCCACCCCAGCCCTGGCCTGCATTTCAAGAAAGATCATCCCAGGGGGGATAATAACTTGTATGACCAGTTGTCTGCCCCTAAGGGTCTGGCTTCAAGATAATTACATGACACCTCAGGTTAGATGGTCTGTACTTTTCACTTCACTGGTGCCACTAAGTCTACCTGGTCAGTGTTATCTATATGCTTGACACCTTATCTCTGAGCAAGAGTCTGAGTGTTTGATATCAACTGCAGTCCAGGGAAATTAAATAGCTTTGTTCTGGTTGACCCAGATTTAGCTTACAGCCCAGAAACATGTTTTTCTCTATACTTTAAAATATATATTAAAAAAAATTAAGGTGAGGAAAGACAAGTTCTGAAATCAAGAGCATGTCGTCACAGTAGCATGTCACATAATAGTGACTGTTAGTGATGGGTTTGTGGCACATCAGGTCAAGCTCAACTCCTCCACAACTCCTCCTTTATATAGCACAGTCACTTCCAGCTTTATACAGCACAGTCACTTCCAGCTTTATACAGCACAGCTACTTCCAGCTTTATACAGCACAGTCACTTCCAGCTTTATATAGAACAGCCACTTCCAGCTTTATACAGCACAGTCACTTCCAGCTTTATACAGCACAGTCACATCCAGCTTTATACAGCACAGTCACTTCCAGCTTTATACAGCACAGCCCCTTCCAGCTTTATACAGCACAGCTACTTCCAGCTTTATACAGCACAGTCACTTCCAGCTTTATACAGAACAGCCACTTCCAGCTTTATACAGCACAGTCACTTCCAGCTTTATACAGCACAGCCACTTCCAGCTTTATACAGCACAGCCACTTCCAGCTTTATACAGCACAGTCACTTCCAGCTTTATACAGTTGGTTGTAAAAGTAATCTGTGGACAACTATTTGTTGATAGTCACGCATTTTCTTTTTAGAGGACAACAAGTAACAGAAACCGACGGTTCAACTAGTGACGGTTAATCTCAAAGTTTATAATGTTGAGAAAAACTGTACAAACTGTACTAATAAACTACAAACATTCATTAACTGCTACCTAACAGAGGGCATTCAATGGTATGGTAGAATCACTCATGTTTAGCTTTAGGAGAGAACTTAACTAATTTTAGTGAATCAAGAGATGAATACCCGATGCTGGCTTTGGTAAGGACACACACTGAGAAAACATGAGAACAATAAAACTAGAAAAGCTTCACATTGAAACCCATAAGGGCATGGAGATACAGGGGGGAAAAAAGAAATGGAGAACAAAACTAGAGAGTATAGTTAATAAGAAGATTGGTAGGACGTGGGGTAAGCTGCATGTGATGTCACATGGCTTGAGTTGGTTGACAGCCTTTGTTCCACTAGTGGACACAGGGCAGAAAGAGAAGACGAGGACATAGTCTACAACTTGGATGCTTTAAGCATCAGCATCACAAATGAACCTGAGATGGCATCTATGTCAGAGGGAAAACAAAAAATGTTTCAGTTCAAGAGAGGAGACATTAGTGCTGTCAACTTGTCAACTTGTGGTCATTATGAATAGGCCAAGAACTGCTGTAATCAGAGAATTCTAGATATAATGGTGATTAGATGTTTTAAATTATACATTAAAAAAATAGTTTGAATGCTTAAAATTAAAGTAATACTTGCAGTGAAATCAAGGGTCTTCAACATGCAGTTAGGATTTCTCAGGATGGCAGCAGCAATGCCCCAGCAGCCTGAGCTCTGAATGGGATTTTTGCCGACCTGAAACAGTGCAGAAATTTCTATATTTTCAAACAATAAATTATCTATTAATTTGTTAAAATATCCCAAAAATTAAATAAATAAAATTATCGTGATATAAAGAATAAAGATCACTTCAGTCTCTTCACACAACTGTTACCTTATAGCAGGTAAATCTGGTGTTGGATTTTGTCACATTCATCTACACAATTCAGTAACTCAACCAGTATTATTTGTCTCAACTGTGTGTATTACACACTTGTTAGGATATTTAGGATAAAGGAGAGGATAGTTGAGCCTGAGTATTTAGGGCCCATGGCTAGTGCAGTCACCTTGCATTGTGAGCATTTAGGGCTCATGGCTAGTGCAGTCACCTTGCATTGTGAGCATTTAGGGCTCATGGCTAGTGCAGTCACCTTAAATTGTGAGCATTTAGGGCCCATGGCTAGTGCAGTCACCTTGAATTGTGAGCATTTATGGCCCATGGCTAGTGCCGTCACCTTGAATTGTGAGCATTTAGGGCCCATAGCTAGTGCAGTCACCTAGAACTGTGAGCATTTAGGGCCCATGGCTAGTGCCGTCACCTTGAATTGTGAGCATTTAGGGCCCATGGCTAGTGCCGTCACCTTGAATTGTGAGCATTTAGGGCCCATGGCTAGTGCCGTCACCTTGAATTGTTGGCATTTAGGGCTCATAGCTAGTGCAGTCACCTTGAATTGTGAGCATTTAGGGCCCATGGCTAGTGCAGTCACCTTGCATTGTGAGCTATGGAATTGAACTATGCTGATGTATAATTGTACATGGCTTATGAAAATTGTAAAATGGCATCTGATTATAGATATATTAGTAGCATAAATGTTCACATCTGAGTGAACATTTTTTAAAGAGGGGAAGGGAGACCTCATTGCTTGTTTGTTAGGAGTTAGGATATTACACAGAGCCGGGATGTACCAAGATCAACAAGTTTTGGTAACCTTCTTTTTCCACCAAAACTAAATTTTAATGTCGTCACTTGTTGTCAGGAGGTAGATTTTGCATAGTAGTTGATGAGATGATGGTCAACGGGTTCTTAGAAACAATATTTTGTAAATAGTATTTGACGTCATTGTTGACGTGCCCTTTCAGTGAGAACGTAGTAGTACTTGTTTTTAGGAGTCCCTATGACGTCAGCTGTTAATTCAACTACTATATTTGCGCAGAATAGGATGATGAAATCTGATGCAATCGAGATATTATTAGAAAATTCCACGTGAGAACGCACATAGTAAACATGTGGAGAGGTACTAGCATTCCGGCATCCAAGTATAAAAAAACGAGTGAGAAACCACTTTGGTTAATCCTTCGGTCTTCAAGACTTGAAAGAGGAGGGGCTAGTAACATGGACCCTCAAAGAAAGCCTTCAGTCGTTGAGACTCCGAGGACGAGCAACTAGTCTCAATAACCCTCGCAGCTGTGGAGATGTCAGCTCAAGAGTTAGAAGGAGAGGAGCCAGTCACATTGAGCCTCAAAGACAGACACTAGAGAAGAGACATGAAGCAAGACATCGAGCTACAGAGACAACACACAAGATACCTGGATCCATGGTTAACAGAGACACATTAGTTAGCAACATTATTCAGATGTTAGAGTCGACAATCAAGCCGTTAGTACCAGACAGCACTAGAAGCCAGGTGGCAGTTAAAGACACTGGAACCAGTTAACAAAGTAACTAGAGATGAAAAACACAATGCGAACTCAAGAGTATGTAGCCATAGGGAGAACCCAGCGCCATTCAGAATATCATTGATGTATTTTGTGACATTGTTAAAGTATCACAATAAAGATAGAATTTCAAACCATGATGGGTAAAAATCCTGTATCAAAACAAACATATCCTGAAAATTTCAGTTAAATCAGTTCAGTAGTTTCCAAGTCTATAGATCATAAACAAACACACAAACACTGATTTTTATATATATAGATAAGTGAAAGTTAAGAAACTTTAGTCCGGACCAGCTCATCACAAGGACAAACCAGACCAGCTCATCACAATGACAAACCAGACCAGCTCATCACAATGACAAACCAGACCAGCTCATCACAATGACAAACTGCATTTCTGTTGGTGACGAGACTAATAGTTTGTTCACCTATTTTTAAATTAGACAGTGAGGGACATTTCATTTGATTTTCACTAGCAAAGAAATGGAGCAAGTATGAGGAAACTGCAATGCAGTGAAGCTGAAACCTTGACTAAGACCTAGAAACAGATTATAAACAGCATATTCATTACCACTTGGACATGATCAAAGACTACCTACGTAAAATTAATAAATGAGAAATGAGATGCCAGAGAAAAGCCAAACAATTTAACCATTTGAGATAAATTTAGAAATGATTTTTATCAGACAGACTGTGGGAACAACACCATGCTGCAAATACAATGAGATACAGAAGATCAAATGGTTTGGTCATCTAGTAAGTATGCAGCCAGAACTACCAAATTTGAGGTCAAAGCAAGAGGTCACCCTAGGAGAAGATGAATTGATGATATTAAAGAGTTTCTATGTCAATATGGAATAAAAAAAGCCACTGGTCCAGGTCAAAGAATGTTAGAAAAAGAAGAATTCTTAGAATTCCTTGGACAGAATAAAAAAAAAAAAGCTACTCAGATGTTTTTAAAGAAGTGATGGCTCAAAGACAACCTATAACAAACATCAGAAAGAGACATTCATCATTTTTGGTCATTTTATGAGAAGAAGGAAACTGGAACATGTTGCGACCACTGGAAGGATTAGTGTAAAAAAGACAGAGGAAGACAACACAAAAAGATTCTTGGCAGTCTTCTGTTATGGCATGTAGAAGTGTCAAGACATGAACTGATACACACTGCTGAAGATGGCAGATCATGGATAGGCATGATCGCCCTGCCAGTCATCTTGATGATGATGAAATGCAAGGCTCCCTTCATAGACAAAAAAGTCAATTAATAGTTTTTGTGCTTCAATGACTGAATTTCACCCTGAAAACTTGAAAGAAATAGACTAAGACATCTGGCATTGCTACTCTGAAAAAGTTCAGAAAATTATTTTGTTTCTATGTTTCAAAGCTGGACAAGTCCTCCAAATGTGTGGTATTTATGCTTCTCTACAACTCAGTATTAACTAAATTCATGTTAACGGAATCACAACAACCTTAACTTTTCAGTACTAGTCAACTCCCATATGTTTCCTAATAGCTCCAAACATGATATACATTACTTAATTTCTTCTTTTCCATTGTGTGTGTGTGTGTGTGTCTTAATCAATTCTACTCTAATTGCTACTGTATCTGGTTTTGTTTCACAGTCATCTTTTGTAACTTATAAAGATCTAAAATTGAAAAAAATAGAAACTTAAGACAGTTTGAGTTTAAGTAATAACTGTGTGAAAGATGTTAAATCTACATTACAATATTTTCTGTTTTGTTTATAATGTACATATTTCACCAATTTCAATTTGATTTAAATTATAAATCATATGGTAAATGCAAGCTATACGAATTTCAATGAGGGAGAGACATGCAGAGCAGAAGAAAAGACAAGAGGAATAAGAAAAATTTTATGTAATACAAAAGAATGAAAATAACAAATGCTTTTCTAGTTATATTGTTTCCAGTTATCTAGTTTTTCTCTTACCTTAAAGACCTTCAGTGTCTCATTTGTTAATAGTCCTTTTCCAATGAGGACAGCACCTTCAGTAGTAATTCTATTATTTCTGTTGAAATGTGTATTGTTTATAATTTCAGTCTGAGTTATCATCATAAAACAGAAATATGTTTATCCTATCCTACCTACTGGGGACAAATATAGTTATTTACCTGGAGGTCAGAAACCCTAAACCTCGTCACTGAGAATGAACACATTTCTGCCAGTGGCTGTGCCATTGCTGGAAGCGTTTCAGTAAGGTCTCTTTACACTGCCAGTACAAGTTAGCCATCACATTTGGCATATTGTCTTCTCATGACTCAGAGCAAACTATCAACTGCATTTTTAGCCTGGGAAAGAGCTAAAAATGGCAAGCAGTCATGTAAGAAGAAAATGGGAGTCTGACGACCAAAGAAATACTGTTTTTAGCCCACAAATGTTATTTTTACAAAGAATGGATGGTTAAGGATGGACCTCCCCCAGGTAATCATTTGCATGGTACAGCATCATGAAAGCAATGGTTCATCTCCAGCTTGGCAATGCAGCCACCCATTTGGCATTGTGGATGACAGACGACTCCAGTGTGATGATGACTCATTTGTTTCACAGACGACTCCAGTGTGATGATGACTCATTTGTTTCACAGACGACTCCAGTGTGATGATGACTCATTTGTTTCACAGACGACTCCAGTGTGATGATGACTCATTTGTTTCACAGACGACTCCAGTGTGATGATGACTCATTTGTTTCACAGACGACTCCAGTGTGATGATGACTCATTTGTTTCACAGTAATATCTACACACAAATGACTTTCTATCATTGACCATGAGGTTCAAGAAGTCACCATTGATGCAGTCCAGCACATCCCAAACAAACTTACAGACAGCTTTGCATCTACTTCTTGCTAACAACCAGGGTTCTTTTTTTCCTGCAAACACTCTCAGCATGAACACAATGTTGATTCCCATCTCAGCTGTATTTTCTGTGATGAGGACAGTGGTTGTGCATGACTAAATGCAGACAATGTTTATCATCGTTTCAGCTTTCTACCAGAACATGGTTCGCTTACCCCCATGTTCAGCTGATAGTAGTATCACTTCTAAATTTTTATGATGCTTATGGTATCATTCCCTAAACTGTTGAATCTTCTGAAAGTTCTACTTTTAGATCACCAGGCTTGTCACTAGGTTTGAAACAAAAATCTTCTCAAGTATTTCCATCATTTCATGGCAACTGAAAATCCAGCTTGTGCTCATAATAATAACTCATTTATAGGATGACTGTTAGTGAGTGAAGATTTCTGCACAAGCAACAAATGCAAACATGTGCAGGAAGGTCAGCAATACTAGCCCTGTCAATAAATACCTCACTTGTCTGATTTTTAATCTATCAGAACAATTAAGGTTGGACATCTTTTAAACAGACCCTGTCCTACAAAAATAAAACTCAGAAAACCACCAGCATTTATGACATATGTATATAATGTATAATTGGAAAACATTATTGTAACATTATTAAATTAAATCAGAATGGACACATAACCAGACTAAAACTGGCAGTATTAGCATTGACACTCTGTGCTGGCTGCTGAAAGTTTGGAAGGAGCATTTATGGGACTGTGGTGTTGGTTCTTAACCCTTATCAATAATGTTTAGTCATAACAGAAAAGAACTTCCTAAATAATTGACAGAAAATTATAACTATTGGTCTAAATCTTTCATATGCACTTTACAAATTAATTCTCACCAAATTTGACAAATATATAGCTCATAAGATTTTAAAAGTTGTTATAAAATAATTTTGTCAATATTATGGCTTCAGGTTTTGCTTAAAATGTGAATAGTCTGTGTAAACTAGCTCATGGTCCATGCTTTACAATGAGACTAACATTAATGGTAATAACTAGATATTAATCACAACACTGCAAGGCTCCAAGACTACAAACTCTTCTTGGTGAGATAGTTTAATGATGTTGCTAGGTCGACTCTCATAAAATGGGTACCAGAAAATTGTAGGAGAAAAGACAAGCGGTCTGATAGCTCACATCATCCATTACATGCTCAATAAGCCATGTTGGAACCTTTCCATCTGTCCAGGCGATAGTGTTATTTTGTTCTGTGAGCAGGCATGGGACTCCCAGCCAATGGCAAGTTTGATTAGAAACACCCGACCATGTTCAGAAAAGTCTTCCACATTTAGAGCATGGGATCTCAGGACCGTTGCTGCCACCATAAACATTTCTTCTTCTTTTCTTCTGCCTTTCTAACCCCCAAAGGAACAAAGGCCCTCAACCAACTCACGCCAAGTCGTTCTATCCGTTGCTATGATATGCAGCTCTTCCCCATGTCCTCCCCATCTTTTTAACTTCGCACTCTAGCTCCCTTTTCTATGTACTTTTTAGGCTTTCTTTATTTCTATGCCCCTGTGGGTTCCAGTGCAAAGACATTCAAGTTGTATTGTTCTCAGATTTTGTCAACGTGTGTCCTATCCAACATGAGCATTATTTCTTCACCTCTTGGTCCACTAAACTTTTTTAGTTCTTTCCCAAAACTCTTTACTAGTGATTCTATCACATCATTTAACTCCCTCTATTCTGCGCAGGAACCAATTTTTCTTGTTTCTCTTTTTGACTTGGTTGGTTTTTTTTTGTGGCTATTGTTTTTACAGGGTGAGGCAGCCAACCTTAACTCTACCAGACCGCTGGCCCGCTATTACGGGAATTTCCTAATCTGCCGCTAATCCGCTGTCCCTCAATGTCGGGAATTTGCGTACTATGAGAAAACAATGCGTCACAAACTAAAAATAACTAGCCAATCGTAATCAGACCTCGAGTTAGTTATTGAGAATTGCTGCCCACGTGTGTCTGGATTTTCTTTGTGTTGTTTGACGGGAAAAAATGCTGACAATTCACAATAAAACGAGCGGCTTATGAGCCAGGCACTTCAACAGGAAGGTGAAGTAGGCCTAGGCTTTTCACAGTCCAACAGGTGATCGATACTTTGGTTGATTTAGACACTTGAGGAGTCAGAATTTCGTGAAGAATACATTCCCAGTTGAAGTGATACAGTCAGAGTTTTGTGAAGAATTCATTCCTAGTTGAAGTGATACAGTCAGAGTTTTGTGAAGAATACATTCCTAGTTAAAGTGATACAGTCAGAGTTTTGTGAAGAATACATTCCTAGTTGAAGTGATACAGTCAGAGTGATGAGGAGAGTCTTGAAAATTACAGATTTAAAACTAGATCGATAGTAACATCTGGTGCTCACTTTGTGAAACAATGCTGATCTTGCTGGGTGGAATTGCACACAAAGGTGGAATATTGGCGCTAGATGAAGGGTAAACCTATTTTCTACAATGTCCTCAAGTTTCAAATTATTCTAACCACTTGTTTGCATGTAACTAATATTTGTGTACATAATGTTGATTTTTTCGAGTAAAGCCTAGGAGCTCAGGTTATAGGGACAGTTAGGTTCAGGGCCTCAGGTTTGGTAGGGTTAAGCCTAACCCGACCCTTTGACACCTCTTACGACATTGCTAGTAGGGTTCTGTGTCTTTGCTTCCTGTGAGGACCTTGATGACATATGGGTGGTCTTTTGTACTGTCTGTGTTTTCTTCCAGATTGGTAGGATTATGGCATTTTTCCAGTTTTGTGATGTTGATGCATTTAGTGTGTGTCTTCACAGACACTCAGCTCTCATCTTTTCTACAATATGTTCACCAAATTACACACTTGACATATTTATGATATTCTCATGTGGTTCTATAAGGCAACTAATTAGGGGTGTTTCCTTCGAAGTCAGAGTATATCTGTCTGAGAGGTCAGGAACCAACAGCCTGCATTCAAATAGGCCAGATCTGTAAAATCAATGTACACAAGTTATGGAACAAGACCAAAGTCAAGAAGTGAACAAACAACCAGAACTTTCTGCCAGAGTTTACAACCGATGAACGGTGAGAAGAAGAATATATTTATTATAGACTGCCAGAGTTTACAACCGATGAACGGTGAGAAGAAGAATATATTTATTATAGACTGCCAGAGTTTACAACCGATGAACGGTGAGAAGAAGAATATATTTATTATAGACTGTCAGAGTTTACAACCGATGAACTGTGAGAGGAAGAATATATTTATTATAGACTGCCAGAGTTTACAACCGATGAACTGTGAGAGGAAGAATATATTTATTATAGACTGCCAAAGTTTACAACCGATGAACGGTGAGAAGAAGAATATATTTATTATAGACTGCCAGAGTTTACAACCCATGAACGGTGAGAAGAAGAATATATTTATTACAGACTGCCAGAGTTTACAACTGATGAACGGCGAGAAGAAGAATATATTTATTATAGACGTCACTATTAACATATTATATACTAAGATGTATATATTGAACTGTGTGTGCGTTTGTGTGTGTATTATCAAATTATATTTTTATACTGAACTACAGGGACTGTAGATACAGTGGTGATAGAAAGTGATAAAATGGCCTCAGCTTAATTTATGTAAAGACAAAAGGAAATAATATCAAAGAAAAGAATGTGCCTAAATGTATAATAAAAGTCAAAGGTGTTTTTTTTAACTGATGACATTTAAGTATGTAGAATGAATGAATTAATCAAGAATTGATATCACTGCGCTCGGGACATTCCCACAAGTGCTGTATCCTCATGTTCAGTAGCCAACAAAGTGTTGGCATGGTAATAGTACCAGCTGCAACCTAATTATAAGTTTGCACCTTCTTCTCCAGAACCTCTGCACATCTCCCACTGAATCAGTCTTTCAGTGTATGCTTAGTGCAGAGTGGCACGCTTTACTGGGAATGACACGGGTGAGGAGTATCGTCTGGATTTTTTTCCGGAATACCCCAGCGTTTTGGGAATGAATAGGTGGACAGATTGGCTGGCTCTGCACAACTTGATGGAATACTGATGCATGATAAGGCTGACATGGTTAGTGCCTTGCGAGAGAGTGTGTAAAGTTTGGAGGAGCAGATGGATCACCAGAGTCTGGTGAGACTGATGCAATGGGGAGTGACGAAGGGTTCTGGCCGATGCTTGAGGCTCAGAGGAAAGACAAGACGGACGTTTAATCAGAATGCCATTGGCACCATTAGTATTGGAACTCTGCACTGGCGGCTGAGATGAGGACGGAGTGCTTATGAGAATGCCCTGAGTGCTGTGATGTCGGTTCTTGAATCAACTCAACTCCCACAGAAGCTTGATGACATCCGCTTGATCATGTAGTAGCTCACTGCCCAGAGGAGTATGTAGACACATGGATAACATCCAAGGGATGATGTATCACAGGACACATGGATAACATCCAAGGGATGATGTATCACAGGACACATGGATAACATCCAAGGGATGATGTATCACAGGACACATGGATAACATCCAAGGGATGATGTATCACAGGACACATGGATAACATCCAAGGGATGATGTATCACATAGATCATGGATAACATCCAAGGGATGATGTATCACAGAGATCAACATGGATAACATCGAAGGGATGATGTATCACAGGACACATGGATAACATCCAAGGGATGATGTATCACAGAGATCAACATGGATAACATCCAAGGGATGATGTATCACAGGACACATGGATAACATCCAAGGGATGATGTATCACAGAGATCAACATGGATAACATCCAAGGGATGATGTATCACAGAGATCAACATGGATAACATCCAAGGGATGATGTATCACAGAGATCAACATGGATAACATCGAAGGGATGATGTATCACAGAGATCAACAACAGAATAGACTTTTTAAAACTGCTTTTTATAACATGAAGAACATTTTTATGCAATAAATCCATGTCACTGGGGGTTAGAAATAGAATGTACGCAAGCTACATAGAGACATAGAGACATAGAGACATAGAGACATAGAGACATAGAGACATAGAGACATAGAGACATTAATAAACATGCCGAACAGTTTCTAGAGGCCTCAGAAACAGTTTTACAGAAGTAAAGAAGAATCCTTAGATTTCCTTGGACAGCCAAAAAAGAGCAAACCAGATGTTTTTGAAAAATGGTGAGAGCTCAAAGACAACTTATCACAAAGATTTTTGAATTTTGATTTTTGGAAGACTTTGATGTTCAGAAAAACACCTGTCACATCCCCATCAGCGTGACAACAACACCTGTCACCTCCCCATCAGTGTGACAACAACACCTGTCACATCCCCATCAGCGTGACAACAACACCTGTCACATCCCCATCAGCGTGACAACAACACTGCATGTATCAGGTCTGCTATCTCTGTTAAAAGGGATGCATGTTGTGTCAAGGTCAAGTGATTATGAGACTGACGCCTGTTCTCCTTCATGCACATCAAAAACTATGTGAGTTGCCGTGTGGATTCTCATCAATACAAATTGCTTTGTTTGTTCTGAACAGTGACAATGCACAAGGCAGAGGTGATCTAATGCCTGCAGGGTGTGGTAAGAAGATCAATTTAAAAATATTGACACCTGGAGAGAATTCTGCAGCGGAGAGTGTCCGAGGGCTCTGGGTGTTACCATAGACTTGGGAGAAAAGATGACTGGTTAACCAGAATGGAGACTCTTTGCTGGCTGTTGAGGAGGGCGACTTAGATGGAGCTAGTTCTTTTTCATTCCTGACTCAGTCCATTACCTGCAAACCATGTACGGAGAGGAGCAGTGGTCGGACTACTGCGACACTCACTCACTGATTTGTTAAACACAGTCAGAAAGTGGAGAACACAGGATTTACCAAGCATCTCAAAATCAACCGCATGGCTACAGAGACCTCTTTTTTCTTTATGCTTCTTGTTTAAACTGTATCTGGTCAGAGTTAAGGGTATAGTGATTCATATGTATGTAGGTATTATGCCTCTGTATGTGTATTTAGGTATTATGTATGCATAGATATATATGCGTGTGTTATCTCTAAGTGATTTAACAATTTTGTCATGATATACAGCACTGATAGTTACTGCCCTAAGTTCAAGGCGTTTCCTTCATGCCAAAGAATTGCACGGCTTTGGGAACAGAGTCATTAATGAAGGCAGTCAGGTCATTGTAGGGGCAATGCTTTGCTGTAGACGTAATTTCCTCATTCCCTTACCCAGCAAAGAGTGAGGGTACTGCTGGGGGGGGGGGGGGGGGGGGGGGACTATTTATTCACCCTCACAAAACTGCATATCAATATGGATTTGAGTAAAACTATAAAGAAGAGTTCCTGCCAGAGCTACAGAGTATGTGCACCATGCTGAATACCTTCTTCATTGATCAATGAAGACAGAGTAAGAATTAGAAAATGTGGACAGGGGGATGGAAGAAGAAAGAGAAGAGGAGGGCAGGTGTCAGAAACAGACTGGGCATAAAGATCTTGAGAGTAGCCACTGGAACTGCTGCAGTGCAATGCAGAGAGGACAAATTTTAGAAAGATTATTTATGCTTTTGACATCCTAATGCTGCAAGTGGTTATGACGGCTACAGTGAGTTATCCGTGACACAGAAATACATCAATCCAGTGGGGCAGGGACAACTTTGGCAAGCTACATTAGTAGGAAAGGAAATATAACATTTAGCACTTGATATGCACTATTGGAACCAGGGCACTAAAGAGCATCCAAAGACACAGGCTGAGATAAGAGGCATTATTTAGAACATTGTAAATGTACATGCTTACGGAGAGTCCTTTGTTAAAAATTAGCAGTGTCATTGGCTGAAAGGTACTAAACAACTGCTAGGTAATCAAGTTGTTATATGTGAGCACTTTAACTCATGCGCTTATAAATGGTATCAGTCAGTGGGAAATAGACACTGTATGATGTGTACTTGCAACTGGCACAGATCTCACACTCAAGAACCAGACACTGTATGGAGTGTACTTGTAACTGTCACAGATCTCACACTGAAGAACCAGACACTGTATGGAGTGTACTTGCAACTATCACAGATGAGGCTGTTATGTGTTGCCCATGTTGTAACTGGCACAGATGAGGCTTTTATGTGTTGCTTATGTTGTAACTGGCACAGATGAGGCTTTTATGTGTTGCTTATGTTGTAACTGGCACAGATGAGGCTTTTATGTGTTGCTTATGTTGTAACTGGCACAGATGAGGCTGTTATGTGTTGCCCCCCTTGTAACTGGCACAGATGAGGCTGTTATGTGTTGCCCATGTTGTAACTGGCACAGATGAGGCTGTTATGTGTTGCCCCCCTTGTAACTGGCACAGATGAGGCTGTTATGTGTTGCCCATGTTGTAACTGGCACAGATGAGGCTGTTATGTGTTGCTCCCCTTGTAACTGGCACAGATGAGGCTATTATGTGTTGCCCCTGTTGTAACTGGCACAGATGAGGCTGTTACGTGTTGCCCCCCTTGTAACTGGCACAGATGAGGCTGTTATGTGTTGCCCCTGTTGTAACTGGCACAGATGAGGCTGTTATGTGTTGCCCATGTTGTAACTGGCACAGATGAGGCTGTTATGTGTTGCCCATGTTGTAACTGGCACAGATGAGGCTGTTATGTGTTGCCCCTACGAAATATAAATTTTAATAAATATTAGGCTCAAATCCTGGGTTGTTGTAGACACATTCAGAAGTTATGTTGAAATTTAAATCCCAAAATCTCCCAAGGTTTCAAATTCATTGTACGGGTTGTTATGTAACAAAACTTTTCTAGCTTTTAGTTTCTGCATTGATGAACTGCATTTTCATTTAATATGCAAATTCTAGTGACAGTTAATATATATTAATTCCTTTAACATTTCCTGCCATCAATCTGATGTGGGATGTCTATACAGATAATTTCCTTCCATATGTTACATTTCTTCTGTATGGTAATTTTGTATTTTACTCTAATCTATTTGCATGTATTAGGTAACATTAGATCTAAATTCATATTCTGTGGTAAAGCCAGTCACATAAATATATAAAGCCAGTCACATAAATATATAAAGCCAGTCACATAAATATATAAAGCCAGTCACATAAATATATAAAGCCAGTCATATAAATATATAAAGCCAGTCACATAAATATATAAAGCCAGTCACATAAATATATAAAGCCAGTCATATAAATATATAAAGCCAGTCATATAAATATATAAAGCCAGTCACATAAATATATAAAGCCAGTCATATAAATATATAAAGCCAGTCACATAAATATATAAAGCCAGTCATATAAATATATAAAGCCAGTCACATAAATGACACCTCAGATATGCTATGGTCAGATGAAACAACCTCAAATGTCAAACACCATGGAAGCCTGCAAGTATGGCAGTAGTCAATGCAGACATGCTGGAAGTATCTTTCAAAACACAGGCTGTTTGTAAGTACATGCAAAAAAATAGAAAAGACTATCCAATTATATTTTGCTGATTTTAAAATTCTTAACTGATTAAAAAGTCTTACGTTAGATCTATTTCTTCCAAAACACTGTTTGTTCTGAACGCATCCTTCAAGGCTGCACAGCCTTCTCTTCCAAATCCATTCCATGAAAGATTGACCTTCTTCATGAACACATTATTCTGAAATCATATATTTATGAAAATACATTATAAGGCAAAATATCAAACTATGAATTGACAGCTTTCAAAGTTGCCAATGCTGTGCTTGCATACACGGGTATGTATTTCATCAATTTATAATGCAACATTCTATTTTAGAACATGGTTATATCAATTATATGTTTTAATACAATGAGCTGGCCATAAGTATTTTCCAGAATATGAAGGAAATGTCACAGTGAACTGAAACTGTGTTTAGGATTTGTTTTAATATAGCACCAGTTTAGTTGGCTCACTTATGTCATCTCTGCTTGTTCTGGAAAAGACCATGAGAATAAAACACGACTTGTTTTAATCCTAATATATTTTACCGATAGCCATGATTAGTGACAGAGCATGATGTCCTAAAACAAAGAAAGACACTTGAGTGTTTTTGCTATTCATTTTCTAATCAGATATTTTCTGTTTCGTAAGGAAATCTACAAGGTACTGTCCATTAACCCTACTGCTTTAACCCTTTACTTCCAGAAACGCTTACAAAAAAAGGCAAGAAACTGCAGGAATTCCCCCAAATATCCTTAAGAAACAGCCATTTAACACAAGTCACAGATAAATAAAGTTGTAAAAAACTTTATTTATTTTTAAAATTTCCCCCAATGAATATTAAAGGGAGTAAACAATCATCATGAAAGGAGAGAAATAAATGGAATAGATTCGCGGCATTTCAAACAGGTTTTGGGTTAACAACAGCATGACCTCATCAGAATCCTTACATTAATTCTACATGCAAATAATGACATCAAAAAGCTGCTTTGTTTACAAGAACCTTCTTAAAAACTATTTTTAGTAATATTTATATGGGATCCATCTCAACACTGTGCAGGCAGTAATATTTATATGGGATCCATCTCAACACTGTGCAGGCAGTAATATTTATATGGGATCCATCTCAACACTGTGCAGGCAGTAATATTTATATGGGATCCATCTCAACACTGTGCAGGCAGTAATATTTATATGGGATCCGTCTCAACACTGTGCAGGCAGTAATATTTATATGGGATCCGTCTCAACACTGTGCAGGCAGTAATATTTATATGGGATCCATCTCAACACTGTGCAGGCAGTAATATTTATATGGGATCCATCTCAACACTGTGCAGGCAGTAATATTTATATGGGATCCATCTCAACACTGTGCAGGCAGTAATATTTATATGGGATCCATCTCAACACTGTGCAGGCAGTAATATTTATATGGGATCCATCTCAACACTGTGCAGGCAGTAATATTTATATGGGATCCGTCTCAACACTGTGCAGGCAGTAATATTTATATGGGATCCATCTCAACACTGTGCAGGCAGTAATATTTATATGGGATCCATCTCAACACTGTGCAGGCAGTAATATTTATATGGGATCCATCTCAACACTGTGCAGGCAGTAATATTTATATGGGATCCATCTCAACACTGTGCAGGCAGTAATATTTATATGGGATCCATCTCAACACTGTGCAGGCTCCTGCAGATCCAAGCACTATTAATTACACTTCTCAGGGACAGGTCATAGCAGACATGCAAAGTAAGCTGCATTTACAAGATTGTCAGAAGCGAAGAGTATAGGCTTTCATAGCAAGAACCAAGTCATCAAAAAGGACAGCTACTACCATCTTCTTCTTCATTCTTCTTCACTTCCTCTTTTACCGCTGTGGGTGTCAAGGGAGATATAAGATTCTGTTTCTAGCTCTTCTGGCCGCATCGACCATAGGCACATCGTGCTGTTGTAGAGTTTCTCTGATGTTATCCTTCCATCTTGTTCTTGGTCTACCTCGTGCTCTACGTCCTTTTTCTCTTTTCATGTATGCTTTGTATTATATAATGTCACAAGGCATTCTCTCTTAGTGGGCAAACCATTTCACTTGCTGTCTTCGTATGTAATCCGGAATTGGTTCTGTGCCGACTTTTTCTCTTACGATCTCATTCCTGATCTTTTCTCTTATGGTCACTCATACAGCCCTTCTCAGACATCTCATTTCTACCATCTACCATCAGCAGCATTAAAATGTAAGAAAAAACTGTAACAAAGGCCCTAAAATGGCTAAAAGCACAGGAAATTACCAGAGCATGCTTGCTCAGCCATGAGCATGCTACAGAAGACCAAGGTAGGTAAATACAAAAACAATGGATCCATCTGATACAGCATGCTGTGATTCAGAAAGTCACTTCTGTCCCAGGCCATGCTGTGATTTAGAAAGTCACTTCTGTCCCAGGCCATGCTGTGATTCAGAAAGTCACTTCTGTCCCAGGCCATGCTGTGATTCAGAAAGTCACTTCTGTCCCAGGCCATGCTGTGATTCAGAAAGTCACTTCTGTCCCAGGGCATGCTGGTATGAAAGGCTTTAAGAGAGACAAGGGTAGACCTGGCTGCTGCTACCAAGATAAAACACCATTAGCACAGCTGCCAACAGGTGAACAAAAGTAATCACCTAAAGAGGGGACGGTCCTGGACAGCAGAAGCAGAAGACACCATTAGCCAAATATTCCCAGTGGAACATGTCAGGCTCGATGCTGAATGGATATAAACACCAGAAAGAATACAACAGCACACTGAGGTAATAATCATCCTGGGTAGGTATTGCAGGGTATGTAGCCAAATAACCACTGATACTCCTCATCTATGAGCATACTCGACCAAGTGATGTTATCAACTTTACAGACAGCTCACTGATTCATGGTGTGCGGTCTGGGTGGGCATAAACAGTGTAGGTGAATGGGAAGACATTCAGAGGAAAGTCAGGCTTCTAGTCATAGGCGCACTTGCACAGTGGACCACTTAAACAAATTACGCATGAGAAGTGACAGTCTGACTGAGCATACTTAAGAAGATCCAAACTGGCAAATTCTGACTAGAATGAATTGACAGCATCCAGAAGTCCTGCTTTAATAAATTATTTTGGCTGTACACACCAAGACATCTTGTGAAACTGCCCAAAAAAGGTGATGTACAGGAGTGTAAAAACTAAAGAGGAATTATGTTGCTGTCAGTTCCTGGAAAAATATTAGGTAGAATTATTTTGGAAAGATTAAAAGATGCTATTCATAAAAAACTAAGAGATGAACAGGCAGGTTTTTGGTCAAACAGATCCTGTACTGACCAGATAGCCACATTTCGTATTATAATAGAGCAAAGCATTGAACTGAACTCACCACTTTACATTGGATTTATAGACTATGAAAAAGCATTTGACAGCACTGATAGGGAATCTCTCTGGAAATTGATGGGGTACTATGGAATCCCAAAGAAAATTATTAACTTAGTAAAGGCAACAAATAAAGACAGGAAATGTCGAGTTCTTCATGAGGGACAGCTAACAGATACATTTGAAATAAAAACAGGTGTGCGACAGAGATGTCTTTTTTCGCCTCTCTTATTTTTACTGACAATAGACTGGATTATGAAAACAGTAACTGCTAACACCAAGAGTGGAATTCAGTGGACCCCTACAAAACAGCTTGATGATCTGGACTTTGCTGATACTTCTCTTCTGTCCCATTCACGGAATCAGATGCAAGATAAATTAAATATACTTGATGAGAGATCACAGCAGCTAGGTCTGAAAACCCATAAAGGAAAGACAAAGATAATGAGAATAAATCAGACAAATAGTAATGTGGTTTCTCTTAATAGCACTCCACTCTGTGGAGTCGTACACCTATTTGGGCAGTAATGTAGATAATGATGGAAGAACTGATAGAGATATTAAAATAAGAATATAAAAGGCAAGAGGAGCTTTCATAGCACTAGGGAATTTGTGGAGGTCAAAAGAAATTAAAAGAAATACTAATCTTACAATTTTAAATTCTAATGTCAAATCAGTACTTTTGTATGGGGCAGAAACATGGAGAACAATTAAGACAATTACTAATAAATTACAGACATTCATTAACTTGTGACTGCGCAGAATAGAGGAAATTAAATGGTATGATAGAATAACTAATGTAGAACTTTGGGAGAGAACTAAACAGGCTCCAGTGGACCAAGAAGTGAGGAAAAGATGCTGGCATTATATAGGACACACTCTGAGAAAACAGGAGAACAGCATAACTAGAATGTCTTTGCATTAGAACCTACAGGGGCATATGAATAAAAGGCCAAAAAACACATGGAGAAGAGAGCTGAAGAATGAAGTTAGAAAGAGGGGGAGGACATGGGGAGAGCTCCATGTAATGGCGAAGGATAGAACGACTTGGCGTGAGTTGGTTGAGGGCCTATGTTCCATTGGGGGATAGAAAGGCAGAAGACACACCAAGACACACTGAGACAAAAGAAAATAAAAGAAATGACAGAAAATTCAGTCATATCTGCAGTAGTTAGTGGAGGAAGAAGTATGGAAGACTTACTGAATGTGCTGCTTTTCCTGAGACACCAAGATAAAGGAGTCAAGAGTTGATACTTTCTTGGTAAAGATGGGGACAAGTCAGAAAGAACTATGTGGATTGATAGAAATGGTAGTGGTAGAAAGTAATTAAATGGGCCCCAGCTTGAATAATTGGAAAAATAGAGGAAATCGTAATATCAAAGAAAACAAAAGTGCCTAAATTTACAGTAAAAGTCAAAGGCTTTATTTTACGTCAAGAAAGAAATTTAAGTATCTAAGCAAATGGAAATACAGAGCTACTTTAACACATTTGTAAATTCGAGACAGTTAGTAAACAAGACAAATAATTTCATGAGGCTTCAGAGATGTGGTTTTACAGAAAAATTCTAGCTACCCAGATGTTTTTAGAGACAACTTATCACAATCATCAGAAAGAAGCAGTCAACATTTTGTGTGTGTCATGTTTTGCGAAGAAAGAAACTGTAATCTGTTGCAACAACTAAAACAATCTGTAGAAAAAGTGACAAAGGAAGACAACACTAGACAATTCCTAACAGCCTTTTGACATGGTATGCAGGAATGTCACCATATGAATTGATACATGCTTCTGACAATGTGTGACAATTGTGAAGAGGTGTGATCGTCCATGATAATGGGCAAGGCACTTGATGATGATTCTCATTTTTGATTTCTGTTTCATTTTATTTCACATGCATGCACGCACGCATGCACACACGCACGCATGCACATATATAAGAACAAAATCTTGCTTTTTTATATCTACAACTTCAAACATGATGATGGAGATGGAGGCAATCACTGCAGCTCTGAAGTGGATAGCAGAAAAGTAACCAGAGGAATTTTAGTGACCGATTCTCCGTCAGTTCTGCGGAAGGTTACAACTGGACAAATATGGCATTAGTGGATACCTGGCATCAGCACGTTAGCATTACAGGGGCCCACATGAATATACTGTGCAGGAAATGCAGGAGTGCGAGAAGAAGAAAGTGTCAATTTTCTGGCTACAAAAGAGATAGCTGCAGAAAAACCTGTACTAGACAAAGAGACATTCTGAAGACCATTTATGAAAGTATGATAGAAGACACGAGGTTGAATGAAATAACGTGTAAGAATGTGTGAACCAGGAATTAGGTAGAGGTCAGGCTAGGTGGGGCATATGAGAGGAAGAGAATGATGATTTTATCATTAGTGTGCTACAGAAATAGTTAGCATCTACATCTGAAGATATTTGCTGTGAGAGACAGAACACCTATTATATTCATTGTGTGCTATGACATTAGTTCTCTACTGAGTTTTCCAGAAGAAGAATATGTAACTGTATGTGAATTTTTGTATTTTTGTATCGAGAAAAAAACATCACCTTAAAAAACAAATTACAATAAGATCTGGTCTTATTATCAGGGAAACATGGTATGCATCATGTTGGACTCTGGGCACGACGACCACACTGAAGACCTGCCCTTACGCGTTACCACCGCCAAATTCGACTTCTTTGGACCAACCAACATCGTCCCTGGGTAGGTGGCAATCAATGGAGACGTGATTGGTTCAGTGACAAATCTTTTCATTTTGTTGCAGCGACATGATAGACGGTGTAAGGTCTACCGTAGGCCAAGTGAAGGTTTAGGCCAAAATTGTGTTGATGAAGCTCTGCTGCACCGTGGTGGAGGTGTAATGGTGTGGGGAATGATCAGTTACAATGGAAGGAGTCAATTGGTGCACATTGAAGAAAACTTGAAAAGTCACTGAAATTCTTCGACTAAATGTCTTTTCATTTTGGGATGCCCACAGATTTCTTTTTTTTCAACAGGACAATGCCAGATCCCATGCTGCACAGCTGACCACACAGTTCCTGGCTGCCAATAACATTCAAACCCTTCCCTGGCCATCCCTGTCTGCAGACATGAGTCTGACTGAGCACCCGTGGGAGGAGTTGCCGTACACCTAAAATTAATGTGACCCAGATGCAAACCATGTCAATTGGTTAGTGGAACCCTAAAGTATTCTTGTGAGAAATTTGAGTAGTTTCACTTATTGCGTTACAAAGATGCAGAATGTCAAAATTGTTTGTTCCTTTCAGTAGCTTTGCATTTTTTAATTTTTTTTAACAGTATAGTAAAAGTACCCAGGAGTGGCTGCTGCATCCTACCCTCTTTGGAATATACTTCTCACTCTTTTTGAAAAATGCCTCTCGTTCAAGATTCATCCATTCTCGCTGAGACACCAGCCTCAAGAGTGCTCATAGACTGAAAGTCCAAGTCAAGTTGAGAAAGGTACCCACTGCACTTTGTAGAAGATGCTGCAACTTAAACTCACTCTGAGTAAAAATTGAAACATTTACTGTTTGCATCTACTGATACTGTTGTGAATGTAAACTAACAATCAGCAAAAAAGGAAGACACAAATTATATTGCAAGGTGTTAATGATAGACCTGCAGTCTTCACTACAGGTGAAGACTAGAGACAGTTGACCATTTTAGATACCTGGGATTCTCAGTCAATGACAAACTATCAAGGAACCAAGAAACCAACACCAGGATAAGCAAAGTAATAACAGCAATGAGCAGATTACCACACACACATACACAAATCTGGAAGAAGTGAAAGACCCCTGTGGCAACACAAAAACTTGTGTCTATCAAGCTTGTGCTCTCAGCACTCTTCTTCACAGAAGTTAAACTGTCAACATATCTGAACTAAGAGAAATGGCTCAATAGCTTTCACAAGTGATGCCTACAAAGAATACTAGATATTAGATGATACGACAGGGTCACAAACACTTAAGTACTGGAAAAAGAAGGTATTAAATATGTATTCTCACAAACTGAGGACGATAAAGCATTCCTCTGTGGGAATTACACATGGGTAGAAGATACCAAGAATATGTCAAATTTCATGGAATCAAAAACAATCAAAGAAGTTCTTGGATAAAAAGATAGTTGCTGAATGAAATAAAAAGTAGCAAGTATAAGTATTTCAGCCAAAAAAAATAAAAGACAATAGATACTCTTTTAAAATTGAAACTTGAAACAAAAGTAGAATGCAAGAAAGCAAGAGATGTAAAAAAAAAAAAGCAGTCAAAGAGTGTACAACCAAGAGAAGCAATAGAGTGTATTGAAGATCCGTTGCAGCCACCTTCACTGTGGAGCTGGCATATAACTGACTGACTGACTGACAAGATACATACATATGAAGTCAAATCTAAGTGAGACTTGAATGATAGATATTGATGTGGATTCACTGAGTGCTATGGACTGTTACATGGCATTGGAAAATCAGGAAGGGAACTGAAACAAAGAAGAAAAGATAATGCTGATATTTAAGAGCTGACCATCTGAGAACAAAATGGTACATTCATGCAATTGTAACACTGATCCAAAAATCCCATGCTCTTATTGTGGAAGACGTTTCTTACAGCAAATAGGACTTGCTAGTCCCACTCACCACCACCATGGGTTGTGTCCCACTCACCATCACCATGGGCGGTGTCCCACTCACCACCATCATGGGCTGTGTCCCACTCACCATTACCATGGGCTGTGTCCCACTCACCACCACCATGGGCTGTGTCCCACTCACCATCACCATGGGCTGTGTCCCACTCACCACCACCATGGGCTGTGTCCCACTCACCACCATCATGGGCTGTGTCCCACTCACCATCACCATGGGCGGTGTCCCACTCACCATTACCATGGGCTGTGTCCCACTCACCATCACCATGGGCTGTGTCCCACTCACCATCACCATGGGTTGTGTCCCACTCACCATCACCATGGGCTGTATCCCACTCACCACCACCATGGGCGGTGTCCCACTCACCATTACCATGGGCGGTGTCCCACTCACCATCACCATGGGCTGTGTCCCACTCACCATCACCATGGGCTGTGTCCCACTCACCATCACCATGGGCTGTGTCCCACTCACCACCACCATGGGCAGTGTCCCACTCACCACCATCATGGGCTGTGTCCCACTCACCATCACCATGGGTTGTGTCCCACTCACCATCACCATAGGCGGTGTCCCACTCACTATTACCATGGGCTGTGTCCCACTCACCATCACCATGCGCGGTGTCCCACTCACCATCACCATGGGCTGTGTCCCACTCACCACCACCATGGGCTGTGTCCCACTCACCATCACCAAAGGCTGTGACTACTATAGCTCCCGAATCCCTGGACAGATAGAAAGGTGCCAGTGAATGCTACTTTTACAAAGCGGCACATTTTTAACAAGGTAAAACAAGTTCTAAGGAAATAAGATTTCAAACTGGATAAGCTTGATGGTGTTACTACTACGGACGGCAGGTTATGGCAAGTAAATTTCAGGTTTTGTTTTTTCACCATGTTTTTACTTTCCCAGGTTATTCAAACCATCAAGCTCTGTGCTGCCATTCCTAGTTTTTCTGACTGCAAAGTCTGCTACAACTCTTGTATCCATTATGCAAAGCAAGCAAGATACAGAGAACAGTTATCCATTGGTTTTTTAACCATTTTACTAGCTAACTTACTTGTATACCAGCTATAATTGCCACAGCACCATCTCGTCGGAACTGGTTCCAGGATAAGTCTAGTTCTTTAAGGCACAGATTCTCCGATATTGCTGGCCCCAGTAGTAAACCTGCTCTCTCCCCGAGGCTGTTGTGACTGATATTCAGATACTCTAGTTTTGTAGAATTCTAGACAAAAAATTTACAAATTTTCTACACACACATGCATCAAGTAATTAAGCATCACAGATGAAATCAGTAGCAGAAAATAGAACCTATTGAAAATATGTGTGGCTCTGTGACTTAGAGGTTAAATATCTCACAATCTTTGATCTACAATTTATTTGATTTCCGTGGGAAAGGGGATGTGGCAGTTTAAACAGACTATTCTCAGGGCTTTCAAAACTGCTAGGAGTCGTATCATGGAAAAGACTAAGCTCTTGCCATGTAATATTTCTTAGGTGGAGGCACTGCAGCAACTCCACTGTGGAGACAGGACAAGATTTAGCTCTGTGGCCTACAGGTTAGTGAACATATTTCACACACAGGCAGTGGTATGTATGATGACGTGCCTGGTGACTTTAGAATGTGCCTTTCCAAAACCTAAATTTTTTCGAAGTATTTTAAAGTATTGAGGAAAATATGCTCCTGCATATAACCTAAATCATGGCCATCCAGAACAAAGCAACTTAATTTCTCATAGACTACAGTTGAAGTCTAACACCCAGACTCTTGTCCAGGGGTCAGATGTTAATGATCCAGATAACACTGACCAAGCTTAGACATAGTGGCTGTAGGTTTTGTTTGTAGAACTCAAGTGTCAGATAATTATATAGCCGCCAGAAACCATTAGGGGCGGGCAACTGGTCATAAAAGTTATTATCTCCGCCTGAGATTATCTTTCTTGAACTGCAGGCCAGAGCTGGGGTTGACACCTTTCAGACAACCTCAGACCAGGTGTCAGAAATGTTACATAATCAGCCCTATGAACTGGCCAACAGGGGAACTAACCTGGGCAAGGGAAAAGTCCAGACATCTTGGCTCCACCTGACTGGTTCGTCACACCTATAACTGACACTGGGTAGAACCAGATGGGATCCACTTTAGAAAGTGTGATTAGTAGGTGGGCAGTCAACTGACAGCCACAAGGACAGTTAAATGATATTTTGAAGGAACTTTCCAGGTTGGGGCTTAAAGGCTCTCCTAAAGGTAAGAATTTTGATACAGATAGTGGGAGGAGCCAAACTTCTAACTCAGATGAAGGGATAAAGGGAAAGATTAATACAGCTAGGGGTCTTGAAACCATTTCAGAGGCTGATAGCACGCCAATTGAGTCAGATCTCCAACAGAAAATCATTCTAGTTGTGCAAGTCTTTTTTTGGCAAATTACTGGAAATTTCCCAGGTATGAATGAATATTATTTTCACTCTTTTATTCGTCTGTTAGGAGTCTACCTAGGCTACAGTATCTTCCCTGAATTATCTGAATACACATTCTGCTTAAAGTAGTTCTTTGTGAATATTCATCTATCTCAGTTAGGGAGCTGGTAAACCATTCCTATTTCTTGAATGTCCGTATTTCATGTTTTTCAGTGTATGTTTTCATGTTTATAAAAATAAGACTTGAAGACTGATATTTATCCTAATAAAATATTAGGAAATTATAATGTTTCAAACATACCTAAAACCAGATGCCTTAAGTGTTCACATATTATGTAATGTGATAGGCTGATCCTTTCTTCGCATCTGTCTGTGAAGTCTCCAATACATACTCAGTGATCTATCCCCTCAAATTGTGCTCATAACATGTTCCTATTTAGCCTTCTTTGCATCTGCTGCACACCGCTTGAAAACTTCTACTTTTTCTTTTCAAACTCTTTCTAGCCTCTCTACATCCTTATGTAACCTGTGAGGTGTCTTTTGCACTTTCTGTAATTTCTTAAATGCTGCTTGCTTTGCTTTCCATGCCTGTTCTTCTTCTTGTGTCCAAAAGCAGAGATAGTGGTTCTGCTGCATGCCTTCCGTGAAGGCGTCCAAGAAGAATACTGTCTCTCTCTCATACATAAAAGTCTTGGGCTTTCTCACAGCCCTGATCTTGCTAGCTTTAGAAATCAAGACTGAGCATGGCATTTAGTCACTCCCATGATCACCTAGGACACTCCATTTTGTGTCCAGTACTGCTGACTGGGTAACAAATGCCTAATCAATGGCCGTGTCTGCATCACCAGGTCACATTGCCATTCTAGCTGGCCTACCATCGTTTTTACAGACTACCTCTGCATCCACCATAGCCTCTGCTAATGCATTTCCTAGCCTATTTTCCCCACTACTATCCCAAGCTCTTTACAAATGAGAAGCCTATTACCAGGGATTTCCTCCAATTCTTTCAGCCAGTCCCAATGTTCCTTTGTGACAAAAGATTCAACAGCAGCGTGAACATTGATTACATTCCTAGGTTGCTCCCCCTTCTTCTTCTTCTTCTTCTTTCGTTCGCCTGAAATAAGTTGTCAATATCAACAACTTTGTCTCTTGTATAAATTTCAATGTTGTTGTTAATTCATTCAATGGTCCATAGAGTTTATGTTCCACTGTTGTTCTTTCTGGCCAAAAGGTTTGCCTTAATGTGTTCCCCCATTTTCTGTCTGTATACCCTGAACCTCTAGTGTACTATGATTCCACCGGCCCAGGTCAAGAACCCCTTGCTTCAACCTATTCTTCACCTGCAGACACTGTCCATGTCGTCCCTAGTCCCAGTAGGATTTATATAACTAATGTATCCAGGACACTCATATCTATCTATGTTTAATTCCTGCAGCATGATGATATCAAAGTCATAAATCAGTATCTACGGTACAGGTCCTCTTTGGTAATCTGGTAATCTGGAAATCTTAATTTCAGCTTCATTGCAAACGGGTCACCCCATAATTACTCCGCTCCTGTGCCAACGAAAACTACACATACTGTTTATCACAGTTCAAATGAAATCCACAGCTCACAGTGTTACGCCATGCACTTAACTCAGAAGCTGGGCAACAAAACTATATCCTTCCAGTCTAGAGCAAAAATGCAAAAGCCACCGGCTGGCAAAAACAAAAAAATTTGCCGGGGCTTAAAAAAAAAGTGCCCATGCCTATCGTCCATTTTGACCTGAAGCATTATGTGAGGGTTAATAAATGGTCACCCCAGCAGTATCCTCACTATTAGCTAAGGAAGGGACTTAGGACATTACATCCACCAGCAAGTGTCACCCCTACAATGACCTGACTGCCTTCGTTAACGACTGTTCACCCAACAGCCATGCAGTTCTTTGGCACGAAGGAGACACCTTGAACTTGAGACACAGGTCCTCTCTGCTTTGCACTACGACAATTCCAGTAACCCACTCTAATATAATTTAATCCCAGATGCTCCGTTTTTTGCCTGACTCTCGGGGCTCTGGATCTCTTATTTCTATGCCTTATCCTCTCTCCATTTCCTCATCTTTTCCTCCTCGTACTCTCTCTGTTGCTACCAAAAGATGGTATCAAGCACAGGGCATGAAACCCATAGCTCCGGCAATGATTCTTTTTATTATTAAATACAAAATCCATAGAAAATATATTTCAGTGCAGGAAGTAAATGGTCACCCTAGTATTGCCTGCTTGCTAGGGAAGAGGCAGGGGATGTCCCGATGGAGTCAATATGCCTGGCGCCTCCCCACCTGCTAACCAGACGTTACACGTTCATGACTGTATAACCCACAGTCATACAGCCCATAGGCAGGCAGGTCCACAGAAGGCTTAGGTTTTTTTTAAATGGAGGTTGTCTCCTCTAGATCAATTGTGTTTTGTGCCTAAGGGAGTTGTAGAAGGGAGTTCCTGATCAAGGGACGTGCATATAAGACCATATATAACTGTGTTATATGCTGAACTGTGTTTCCGGGATTTGTACCTTGGCACACACCCTTATTAATCCTGCAGAATGGAAATCTGGAAAGATTATTAATACTGGGGCAGAACTAGGGACTGTTAAAACACTGATTGTCTTAAAAGAATCAGCCAAGAAAATAGGACTAGTTATCAATCAAGATAAGACAGAATACATGACAAAAACTAGACAGGGAAAGGATATAAACTCCGGCCACATACAAGTCGATAATATGAAAATCAAACGAACGGAAACATATAAGTACTTGGGTGCAAACTTAGACTGCTCCAATATGCTGAGAGAAGAAATACAATCTAGAATACAATCCTGTGCAGTCTATTCCTCCATTTCTTTCTGTCGTGTGCAGTCTATTGCTCCATTTCTTTCTGTTGTGTGCAGTCTAATGCTCCATTTCTTTCTGTTGTGTGCAGTCTATTGGTCTATTTCTTTCTGTTGTGTGCAGTCTATTGCTCCATTTCTTTCTGTTGTGTGCAGTCTATTCCTCCATTTCTTTCTGTCCTGTGCAGTCTATTCCTTCGTTTCTTTCTGTCCTGTGCAGTCTATTGCTCCATTTCTTTCTGCCCTGTGCAGTCTATTGCTCCATTTCTTTCTGTTGTGTGCAGTCTATTGCTCCATTTCTTTCTGTCCTGTGCAGTCTATTCCTCCATTTCTTTCTGTTGTGTGCAGTCTAT